AACACCGGCGGGGGGGGGGGGGGGCAATCTGACGATAGAAATGCTAATGATCTTGATACACAGAGAGCATCGTGGGGGGATCGTGGGAAACGCCCCCGTTCCTCAGGCAGTAATCAGTGAATCACAACCGATGAGCAGGCAGCTGCTGCCCAGGAGCCATTGAGCAGGGCAGTGAGGTAGAATCACTCTCTCTAGAGATTGACTGACTTTAAATATATGTGTCTCTGGCAGTGGGCCGGGCCCCACTTTGAGCCACAAAAGAAATTCAATTTTTTTGAAGCCTGTGGGGCAAGCAGACTTTAGGAAAGGATAATGTCGGTTTATGATGACAGTAATAGTAAATATGATTCATATTTAAAATGATAATAATAATGATGATGGGTTAGGGTTATCCTTTATTTTTAAATTGTCTATTCTGTAACCTGCTAGCCCATAGCCTTATATTTTGTTTTGTAGAATTAAATTATAAATTTGTAAATTGAACATTGAACATTTTCGTGCACTTTGTTATCTTTTTTGTTTTCTGTTTCTGGGTTAAACTAACCCATAGAATTATATTTTATTCTATTCCTCTGGCACTGTTGTCTTGTCGTCCATTGTCTTACTGTCTCATGTTATGCATGTCAAATTCATTGTATGTCTAACATATTTTGGCAATACATGTTCCTGTTTCCTGATTCCTGATGGAAGAGAAGTCATCAATCAGGGCCCACTGCTGCATCCAAGGTTCTTACATCTGAGGATGGGTCAGCATTGGTTGAAGGCAGGAGACCATCAATTTTCTCTTTGATAGTCAGAATCTTATCATTGAAGAAGTTTGTGTTGTTCAAGTTCAAGTTGTTACTAGTGAGGTCCAAAGGAATCCACGGCTCGACAGAGCTGTGATTCTCAGTCAGTCTGGCTACAGTGCTGAAGAGAAACCTGGAGTCGTTTTTATTTTTTTCTTGGACGGACTGAAGTTTTCACAGAAGTCCTCTGCTATATATATACACATGTATATATACGTATATATACATATATATATACATGTATATATACGTATATATACATATATTTATATATATGTATATATACGTATATATGTATATATACGTGTATATATACGTATATATACGTATATATATGTATATATACGTATATATATATATATACATATACATATATATATATATATATATATATACGTATATATACGTATATATATACGTATATATTTCGGTATATATATATACGGTATATATACGACCCACCCAATCTACCAGGTCCTCCTCCCCATGCTTCACAACCAGCCTTCCCAGAGCCCCCCCAAAGAGAAGTGAAAATGAATGCTTTCATCAGGAAGGCAATCTGCACACTGACTGATAATGAATAGAATCAATAGCTGCAGAGAAAAGCCAATCAGAGATGTCAAGGTCAAGGTGGAGGGGGGGGGGGGGTCATGTTACAGGAAGCAGCAAAGCCGGGAAGGGACACTCTGAATTATTGATCAACGTAATGGGCGAACACTCATTTTTTTCCGCCGTCACTTTGAGTTTGACCGGAGATTTCCCATGAGGCCTCAGAGGGGTGGGGGGTCAGAGACACACACAAACCAACACCAGATCATAGATCTGTAAGGCCATGTCCTCTATGAGGGAGGGAGTTGGTGTTTGAAAGAAAATACACCTTGCAACATCATCAATCGGGAATCAGGAAACATTTATTGTCATAATATGTCAGACATACAAGGAATCTGACTTGGCGGTTGGTGCATAACAGCAGACAGTACGACAATGGACGACAAGACCACATTGTACGAGGAATAAAATAAAATATAATGCTATGGGTCGGTAGTATAAGGCTATGGGTTAGTTTAAAAGTAAAAAAATAAAAGTTAACGTTAAAAATATTTAAAAATTAAAAATAAAGTGCACAAGCGAACAGAAAGTGACAAGTGAAAGTGGCGTGTGCAGTGAGAAAGAAAGTGACCGGAGTCAGACAGATCTTTTTAGCTGCTTCAGGGTCCTAGAAGCGAACAAGTCCTGCAGGGACGACAGATTGCATCCGATCACCCTCTCTGCAGAGCGGATGACACGCTGCAGCCTGCCCTTGTCCTTGGCTGTGGCTGCAGCGTACCAGACGGTGATGGAGGAGCAACCATCTCCACTGTCTTCAGAGCGTTGAGCTCCAGGTCTTTCTGGCTGCACCACGACACCAGATGGTGAGACTCCCACCTGTAGGCGGACTCGTCCCCACCGGAGATCAGTCCAATGAGGGTGGTGTCATCCGCAAACTTCAGGAGCTTGACGGACTGGTGGCTGGAGGTGCAGCTGTTGGTGTACAGGGAGAAGAGCAGAGGGGAAAGAACGCAGCCTTGGGGGGAACCGGTGCTGATGGTCCGAGAGGCTGAGACATGTTTCCCCAGCTTCACGTGCTGCTTCCTGTCAGACAGGAAGTCTGTGATCCACTTGCAGGTGGAAAAGTTTGTTGTGCAGCAGAGACGGGATGATGGTGTTGAAGGCAGAGCTGAAGTCCACAAACAGGATCCTGGCGTAAGTGCAGGTTCCTGGGGAGTCCAGATGCTGGAGGATGTAGTGGAGGACCATGTTGATAGCATCATCTATGGACCTGTTCACTCTGTAGGCGAACTGCAGGGGGCCCAGGAGGGGGTCAGTGAGGGTCCTCAGGTGAGACACAACTAGCCGTCCAAAAGACTTCATGACTACAGAGGTCAGGGCGATGGGCCTGTAGACATGTATTTGTCAAGGCACCCTAACCCGTCCACACAACTGCCACTAACAACATATTAGTATTAGTATCAACAGCAGTAGAACAATTAGTAGCAACTGCCAATGTGAAAACTGCCCAGCGCATCACTGCTTCCTCACTCCCCACCATCAAGACTGTCCAGCACAAAAGATGTCTGCGGAGAGCGAGCAGCATCGTGAAGGACAACTCTCACCCCAGCCATAGACTATTTGCCCTCCACCCGTATGGGAGGCGCTACAGGGCCCTCCATTCCCAGACCAGCAGGTTCAGGAACAGCGTCTTCCCAGCCACTATCATCCTGCTGAACTTTGCACCACGGTGACAGCCCCTGGTCCCCCCCTACACCTGTCCCATTGACACACGACCTTCCAGCCATTGAATATTCTGCACTTTAATTATGCCGTATTTGCACAATTATGCCATATTTGCTCTACCATGTCATTCATATTTACAACCCTGCTGCTTAATGTATATACTGCTCCATTAATATTTCACACTGTACATTTATTTATATGTACTCTGCGATTTTTCTCCTCTCTTGCACTTCTGGTTAGATGCTAAACTGCATCTAGCAGTAGTGTTAGTAGTAGTACTAGTAATATCAGCTGTAATATACTATTGGTGGTAGTTGTAGTCAAATTAGTAGTAGTTATAGTACTTATAGTATCACGATCGTGATCATCACTGCCATCACCATGATGGTTGATAATGATGGATGTGATAGTGAGTTATAGTGTTGTCAGCAGTATAAATACTATTAGTACTTTTTTATAGTAGTAAGAGTAGGAATATCAGTTGCAGTGTCCCTACTACTCGTAGTAATAGTAGTATTTTTAGTATTACTACAAATAGAAGTTGTAGTAAGAGTCATTTTACTATTAATAGCAGTATAAATACTTAAACTACGACTAGTAGTAGTAGTAGTAATAATAGTAGTAGTAATATTATTAGTAGTATTTGAAAGAACAAAAAGTATTTCAACAAAACAGCTTCATTGTGAGCAATGACAGATAATCCTTGAGGCTTTTATTTTGAAATGATGGGAGGGTTTGGAGACAGAATTTTTGTCCTTCAAACCAAGAAGGTATTATTTGATAGACATTACAGTAACAATTCCCTCCATGGGGGTTTTATTTTGAAAATATGGGATTGGGTGGGGGGGGATTGATTAAGAGCGAGGGGGGGTCAGGGCGGAGGAGGGAGGAACAAGCAAGGAGTTTGAAGATGTTGGTCGGATGACTACGATATAATGTATATGTACATATGATAATCCTTTGTGTGAGTGAGGAGAGAGAAAGTCCACACCCAGCTCAGAGGCACCATGAAGATATCTGGCATGTTGTCACATCACAACTTCCGGTTTTTGCTTTCAGAATAAGATGTGAGGAAACTTGCCAGACAAGGGTCCTTGATGTTGAGACCATGACAACAGTATGTCACACGGATCTAGTCACGACGATGATGATAATGATGATGGTGATGACCATCGCCACCATCATTATCTTCATCACCATCATCACCATAATCATCATCATTGTCAACATCCTCATCATCATCCCCATCATCATCTTCATCACCATATCCATCATCACCATCGTCACCACCACCACCACATCTTCATCAACATCATGATCATCACCGCCATCACCATGATGGTTGATGATGATGGTGGTGATGAGGAAGATAATGATGTGATAATGATGGTGGCGATGATGAGGGTGATGCTGGTGATGATGTGACAGTGATGATGGTGTTGATGGTGATGGTAATCAGCGTGGTTACATGGATTCGAATAACTGGCTTAGTCGGACTGAAATCGAATTATCCGTTTCATGTAAACACCTTTGTCCGACTATGTGCGGTCCGACTACGATCCGACTAACACCCCTGGATAACTCCATCCGATCCAGTTGATAGTGCGACTATTGCGGCATGTAACGGTGAATCGGATGAGGAACTGGACTTTGTGTCTTTGCGCATGCTTGAGATCCCGACGGTGTAAACACACTGAATGATGTTGATGATTCATTTAAATTCAATTCGTTTTATTTGGTATAACCCCAAATAAATGCATTAATTCCTCGTGATGATGATGATGCAGATGATGATGACAAAGAGATAAACAGAGATGATCAATCAGTTCCCCATTCATTCGCAGTTTTTAACTGTGATTACTTTCTGTATTCCATGTAAACATCATAAAGGAGCTTTATTCTGAAGATTGTCTAATCGTACTTCCGGTGCAGCTAGTCCACCTTGACGCCTCCCTCACGGTCAGTCGGCATGACAACGCGCTCGTGAGGGCAACGGCTGACGGGTGCGAGGATGGAAGCTAAAGATGCCTAGTAACGGAACCAGCGGACAGAACCGAGCGACAACCGGGACTGGCTCCGGGACCGGCTGCGGGACTGCCCATGTCCCGGCTATGGAAAGAGCCCGACCGGTGACGGTGTCCGCGGTGAGCCTCGCGCTCAGCGCGCTGTCCCTGCTGCTGCTCGTGACCGCGATCTCCACCGACCACTGGTACGAGACGGACACGCGCACTCACAAGCGCAACTGCGACCGCAACGGGTCCGAGTCTAACGACCAGAAGAACCGGGAGATGCCCATCTACCATCTTCCGCTGGTGGACACCGTCCGTCAGCGGGATGTGTCCATGATGAAGCCCGTGCATGTGGGAAGCAGAGAGGAAGAGCTGCTGGAGAACTGGAGGGCCATCCTGGGGATGGGCATCCTGGAGACGGAGTGCGGCAGGCCGCTGTTCTCTGCCCACTCCGGCCTGTGGAGGAAGTGCTACTTCCAGGGCCTGGACCGGGACATCGACAAGCTGATCGAGCGGGGTCAGGACGCGCGCACTTACACAGACACGTATAGATACACACACACATAGTGTGTGTGTGTGTGTGTGTGTGTGTGTGTGTGTGTGTGTGTGTGTGTGTGTGTGTGCGCGCGTGCGTGCGTGTACACATAGTGTGTGTGTGTGTGTGTGTGTGTGTGTGTGTGTGTGTGTGTATATACCATAGTGAGAATGTTTGACTCCTATACGGCAGGACCACTGCAGGGGCAACCACCGTCACAAAGAACCACCGTCAGATGGGACCACCGTCACATAGAACCACAGTCACATAGAACCACCGTCACATAGAACCACCGTCACATAGAACCACCATCAGATAGGACCACCGTCACATAGAACCACCATCAGATAGAACCACCGTCACATAGAACCACCTTCACATAGAACCACCATCAGATAGGACCACCGTCACATAGAACCACCGTCACATAGAACCACCATCAGATAGGACCACCGTCACATAGAACCACCGTCACATAGAACCACCATCAGATAGGACCACCGTCACATAGAACCACCGTCGCAGAGAAACCACCATCAGATAGGACCACGGTCAGATAGGACCACGGTCAGATAGGACCACGGTCAGATAGGACCACGGTCAGATAGAACCATCACAGAAGCCTGTGGGGAGACTTTAGGAAAGGGTAATGTTGGTTTATGATGACAGTAATAGTAATATGATTAATATTTAAAATACAAATAATGACGATAGCAGCAGCAGGTGTCAGCAGGGCCACGGCAGGAGGCAGGAACAGGGTCCAGATAGAACCATGATCCATGGAAACCTGAGAGACGAGAAAGCACAAAAAACTCCTGGAAAGAAGCTGAATTAGTCATGTGCATTAATAAAACGTGGATTATTGTAGAAGGGCTGGTCCGGGCTAACCTGAGCCAGCCCTAACTATAGGCACAATCAAAGAGGAAAGTTTTAAGTTTTACTTTAAAAGAGCTGCCAGAATCTGCCCCCCGGACTGAAAGTGGAAGCTGGTTCCACCAAAGAGGAGCTTGATAACTGAAGGCTCTGCCCCCAGCCTACTTTTTAAAACCATAGGAACAACAAGTAACCAGCATCTATGGAGCGCAGCTGCCTTGTAGGGCAATAAGGTGTTACAAGCTCTTTAAGATACGACGGTGCCTCACCAGCAAGTGCCTTGTAGGTGAGGAGAAGTACCTTAAAATCTACTCTTGATTTAACAGGGAGCCAGTGCAGAGAAGTTAGTACAGGAGTGATATGATCCCTTTTCTTAGATCTTGTTAATACACGTGCTGCAGCATTCTGAATCAACTGGAGAGGCTTAAGAGATTTACAAGAGCAGCCTGATAACAAAGAATTACAGTAGTCCAGTCTAGAAGTGACAAACGCATGAACTCATTTTTCTGCATCACTTTGAGACAGGAAGTTCTTCCATCCATCCATTGTCAAACCGCTCATCCTGCATACAGGGTAGCGGGGGGGCTGGAGTCTATCCCAGCCAACTTCGGACAGGTAGTTCCTTATTTTGGATATGTTACGTAGATGAAAAAAGGCAGTCCTTGAAGTCTTATATTTATATGAGAGTTAAAGGTCATATCCTCGTTGAAGAGAATTCTTGACAGCAACACTTTAAAACCTTCTCAGAAATAATTTGGACATAACATGAGACGTCGGTTCTCTTCTCTACAATTTCTCCAAATTTTACTCTTTTCTTAAACAAGTAGTTTTCTTATTTTAAAGATAATGTTTCTCTTTTATAAACCTGTCTATGGTTTTCTAGAAAGCACTTGCACAATCTGCACCCCTAAGCACTCACAGACTTTCAGGCTCCGTTACCTCTGTGAGGGTTTGGTTCTGTCCCATCATCTCGGACATTTTTACATTACAGGTCATTTAGCCGACGCTTTTATCCAAAGCAACTTACATTGCATTTTTAACCCATGGTTTTACTTTTTTTTGCCCGGGGAGCAATAAGGGGTTAAGTGTCCTGCTCAGGGACACTTCGACATGGGACATGGAGCAGCCGCAGTTTGAACCGCCAACCTTGCGGTTCCCGGCGCACCCTCGCTACTCCATGCGCCACCGTTTTAGCCCTTTATGAACCCCTTCCGGCATTGAATGCTGACTTAGCCCGAGAGAATTACCCACAAGTCATTGCAAAGGGGATAACCAGTGAACATACAGAGAGTAAAAAAGGTAAACAAAGGCGACAGCACACGTGTGTTCAGACTGTCATAATGAAATGTATACATTTAAAACATCAAGGATTGAAGATGGAGTAAATAACACATGAAATCAGACAATCTAATCTTTATTTGATTTGGCCTTTGGGGGAATTAGAATAGTCCTTTTTGTTTAGTCAGGTTCCTAACTGACCCAAAAGGTAGGGTACAATAGTACTCAATAATACAACCGTGCTGAACAATACATCAGTACTCAATGATACAATACTCAATGGTATAATAATACACAACAGTTCACTGGTGTCAGACAGCAACCAGTATAATCAGAAGCAGAAACTCATCCCTGCAGCTTGTTGGTCACCAAGAGATCAATACGAATCCCGGAGGTCAAACCCCGACAGGTCCGTGACCACACCTCAGACCAAATAACTCCTCAATTGTAAAATGGATGTAAAATGCGTTACACTGGATTAGACTGGATCTTGATCCCAGATCAGATTATATCAATCGATCGCTGCAGGAGGATCAGTGGAGGGACAGTCTCATTGTGTTGAGGGCAGTGAGAAAACAATCCTACTTCTCAGTAAACATTTCAATCATGAGTTAATGGTGTCATGTCCTCTTCAATATAGCATGATCTTACTTTAGTAAATTATGGTCCATACACTCGAATTGACAGGTCTTGGAGAGCTTTGAATCCCCCTAAACATTACAAGCATTGCTTAGGTGCGTTTGTAGGTTGCTGCGCCATTACAGGGGTCAGGTAGTTTTCTAAAGCTCAGGTACTCACTTGTCAGGTACTCACCTGTCTTCTTCGGCAGGCATTGCAGATCGCTGCACAGCTGTGAAGTATCACTTCTCTCAGCCAATCAGACTGAGGAACATCCCTCTGAACCTCACCAGAACCATCCAGCAGGACGAGTGGCACCTTCTGCGTAAGTACGCCGCATATATATATATATATACATATACATACATATATATATACACTGCTCAAAAAATGACCAAAAAATGATATAAATATATGGACATATACTTGTATACACACCAGATACTATATACTACACTATGAAGTTAATGAGGTATGACGTCCTGCTGCAGACCTGCGTCGGATCACAGCTGGGTTTCTGGGCATGGCCGCAGCCGTCCTGCTGTGTGGAACCATCGTGGTCTTAGTCGGGTTCTTCTGGGAGGAAAGTCTGACACAACATGTCTCGGGACTGTTGTTCCTCATGGCAGGTAATGAGAGGCAGTGAGACAGATACAGGGAGCGAGAGAGAGATAGACAGGTAGGTAAGAGACAGACAAGTGGAGAGACAGGAGGTAGAGGGAAAGAGACAGGTAAGAGACAGTCTGGTAGAGGGAGACAGACAGGTAGAGAGGGAGTGAGACAGATACAGGGAGCGAGAGAGAGATAGACAGGTAGGTAAGAGACAGACAAGTAGAGAGACAGGAGGTAGAGGGAAAGAGACAGGTAAGAGACAGTCAGGTAGAGGGAGACAGACAGGTAGCGAGGAAGTGAGACAGTTAGGACAGATGGGTAAGAGACAGACAAGTAGAGAGACAAGAGGTAGAGGGAAAGAGACAGGTAAGAGACAGTCAGGTAGAGGGAGACAGACAGGTAGAGAGACAGGAGGTAGAGGGAAAGAGACAGGTAAGAGACAGTCTGGTAGAGGGAGACAGACAGATAGAGAGGGAGTGAGACAGAAACAGGGAGCGAGAGAGAGATAGACAGGTAGAAAGACAGATGGGTAAGAGACAGATAAGTAGAGAGACAGGAGGTAGAGGGAAAGAGACAGGTAAGAGACAGTCTGGTAGAGGGAGACAGACAGGTAGAGAGGCAGTGAGACAGATACAGGGAGCGAGAGAGAGATAGACAGGTAGAAAGACAGATGGGTAAGAGACAGATAAGTAGAGAGACAGGAGGTAGAGGGAAAGAGACAGGTAAGAGACAGTCTGGTAGAGGGAGACAGACAGGTAGAGAGGCAGTGAGACAGATACAGGGAGCGAGAGAGAGATAGACAGGTAGAAAGACAGATGGGTAAGAGACAGATAAGTAGAGAGACAGGAGGTAGAGGGAAAGAGACAGATAAGTAGAGAGACAGGAGGTAGAGGGAAAGAGACAGGTAAGAGACAGTCTGGTAGAGGGAGACAGACAGGTAGAGAGGGAGTGAGTCAGTTAGGACAGATGGGTAAGAGACAGAAAGGTGGATAGAAAGGTCAGAGACAGATATGTTGAGTTGAGAGAGGGAGACAGACCTGTCTGTCTTATAGACTTTACAGGCCCCTCTGATGAAGGCTTTTCTCTTCATGTTTCCTTCAGGGATCTTTTGCACCATCTCTCTGTGTACGTACGCAGCCAGTGTGACCTACGACCTCTCCAGAAACCCCCCCTTTATCTACGGCCTGCCGGCTGATGTGGACCACGGGTACGGCTGGTCCCTCTGCTGTGCCTGGGCAAGTCTGGGCCTCACGGTGGCCTCCGGCTGCCTCGGCACAACCTTTCCCTTCCTTAGCCGGGCCGGAGCGCTGCGCTCGAAGACCGCCCGCGAGTCCTCCGTCTGAGCCGCAGGCTGTCAATCAAACGGGGGGAGGGGCTTAATGACAGGGCTGCACCTGGTGGATGTGAGCCGGGTTCTGCTCAGCCTGGTGGCGGAGCGTTGGCCTCAAGGTGGAGGACGTCTACAACGGTTTATGAATCGTGTTGAATTACACTTCTGTCATTAAGTCTTGTGTTTGCTGACCTCCATTGGTTTAACTTCTCACCTGTGCGCAGTGATGAACAGGTGCTCTCCTGTACCCCATGACACCATCGCTAGGTGTAACTACAGGTGTCGGACCACAGTGCGTGTGGTGTGACCTGTAGGAGCTAGCATGCTAACAGGTTATCAGGGTCAGTAGCCTCTGTCACTGTAACTGCAGCCAATCAGCATCCCTCTCATCTGCTTTTTGTTTTTTTTCACACCTACAGAAGAACATAGAGGAACATGAACATATTTACTGGATGAGTCTGTGCACTTTATGAAACCATATGTGAAGATCCTCCTGAAAAGCCCCTAATCCTAAATGTAGCGAGTAAAGAACGAGAGCAGCAATGTTCAGAAGTAGTACCTAAGATCTAGAGCTGCATCCACAAGATCATTTTGATTGTGTCTTTGGATTATTTCGTTTCCAGCCCTCTCACATTCAGGATGAAAAAACGTTTTACAAATGAGACTTCAGTATGGCGGCAAATCACTGCGCAAATCAGGTTGATGCTCGCGCGTAAATCAAACAAGGCTGCTCGCTCGCGGAACGTGAACTTCTAATCTAATAAAATAATCTCTCCAACTTTACCGAACTATGGAGGAGCCTGCGCATATCTTACATTCACTGATTCAGACTTCATTTTACCAATACGGACCGGTCTGCGAGCTGGACGCATTGCTCTTAATGATGGTAAATGGTGCTTGTAGCTGGTTGTCATCTACGCTCCACTACGGTTACATAAAGGTGGCGTTTGTATTTTGACAACGTTTTATCTCAGAATTTTCACTTTTTATCCCCTTTCTTTAGTGCAGAAATGGGCTTCTATAGTTGTGTGAATGCATCACTCCAGCCAATCCACAGACGCGGTTTGTAACCAATCAGGTGTAGAGATGGTGACTGGCTCCGCCCCCTTACTGTCAAAAAGAACAACAGCGAGCGCGTAGAAAACTCCTTCGAGCGCGAGCAGAGACTAACCTCGCGAGCAAGGAAGTTCACGCTCCGCGAGCGAGCAAATATCTCGCGCGAGATGAACTTTGACTCGCAGATGTTTGATTTACGCGCATCAACCTGATTTGCGCTCTCAAATTTTGACAGTGATTTGCCGCCATACTTCAGGTTCTCCTTCAGGAATCAGATGCGTCTTTGATGCGTCTTCAGGATGAGAAGAATCATAGGTCCAAACTGTAAATACTATGAAATGACAAAAAAAACTATCTGATGTAATCTCTGTCTCTAAAGTATGAAGAATTGTATTGACTGAGTCACAGAGGAAACTATAAGTGCGTTAAACAGGCATTATTTAAACATTTTAAAAGTGATAGCATCATAACCAAGGTGTAATTTAATTCAATTATTTTTTTTGTACAGCCCAAAATTACAATAACAATCTGTACACATGCAACTTCCTCTGACCTTTGACCCCCACATCGGTACAGGAAATATTCCTCAAAAAATGAAGAACCTTACGAAAAGAAAAAAGAACCTTAGTGAGAACGTTGGAGGAGGGATGGACAGACTGCACGATGTCATGTGTGCAGAATGAACAATGGAAAAGATGCACAATACATTCATTCAAAAATGATTCTGTCGCATGACAGAAATGATGACATCATAGCTCCACTAAAGAAAACTTCAGAATAAGTTAATTCCGAGAAATGAGCAAACATCAACGTTGTCAAAGGAGCTGAGTCAACGACGTAATGGTGTCATTTTTGGTGTCCACGACAAGGAAGACAGCAGTCACCTTATATTGTCCTCTGAGGAGATATTTCGGTTGTATGTAAACAAGAAAAGGTTTTTAACTTGTTAAGAGAATCTATGAATTCAGTGATGCAGTATTATGTTTGTTTAAATGCATTCAGCCACCTGGTGTTTAAATAAGGAGCTCCATGAGGAACATCACGTTGGTCTGGAGAACACAAGGGAACATCTGAAAGAGAACGTCCCAGTGTCCCTTTAGTGATCAAACACTGGATCTGGTTCAACAGTCGGCTGGTCTGAAATCACACAGTTCAGGTGTGAGCAGGAGAGCCATGTATGAACTTGTGTTCTATGGACGGGACTGATGCTGCTGCTTGGTGCTTTAGTACTTCATTAAACAAGTTAATGTTCAGTCGTTTTTAGCTCAGTCTTATATCCTGCAGGCTGGATGCCAAGTCTGTTCCCGCTTACCTTCTAACAGAGGGAACAGAACATGTCATCGGGTCTTCTGATGCCTGCTGAGACCTGTGACTGCCTGTGAGACACTCATGTACCCCATCGCCATCTCCTTCTGATTCCTATCCTGTGTCCTCAAATACTCCCGACCCCCCTTCCCCGTGTCTTCTGATACCCCTTCTGTACCCACAGCAGCCTGATTATTTTCCCCTGGAACTCCATGTTACCCAATTAAGCCCCCTCCCCCGCTCCCCAGTGTCGCCTCACTTCTCTGTCTGCATCCTGATGTTCAGCTGTAAATAAACGATAACAACATTATCACACCTGATATATGTTTGATACGTTGTCATCATGAATATATAATAAAAATGATAACAGACAGCGCAATGTTCTTTAATGTGCACGGTGCTGGGTGAAGATGAAACATATAACTCAATTAATAGCATGCTTTTCACTTGTTTTTAATGCTTTTAATACATTAAAAACATACATTGTGTAATGCACAATTTTATTTTACGGTAATTTCATTCAATTGCGACGGTGGCTCATGGAGCAGAGAGGGTGCACCTAACCCTAACTGCTGGGAAGCGCAAGGTTGATGGTTTGAGCCCCAGCTGCTCCGTGTCCCTGAGCATGACACCGAACCCCTAATTGCTCCCTGGGCTAAAATGTAGAAAGCCATGGGTTAAAAATACAATGTACGTTGCTTTGGATAAAAGCATCAGCTAAATGACCTGTAAAGTAACAATATAACAGGCATTCTTAGCAACAGCAAGGTACATAAATGTGTTTTATCTTTCTTTGTGAACAGGTACCAGAAGCAACATTAGTCTTTTATCGGGGAGCAGCATAACCACCTTTCACAGGGGCAGATGTTGTTCTTCAGACTGCTGTGAGTCTGCACGTCGTTGTAACACTGTCACTCTCTTATAAAACGTGTGTGTTCTCCTCACGGCGTGTGTGTTGGGAGACTCGTACGCGCCTCATTCGCTCCTATAAGGACGCTTCATTCTTCTTGCGTTGGTTTGTCTACAATTCTTCCGCACGCCACATTAACGTAGTCGGCCCAAGTCTCGCTCCACTGGTTGTTTGCATCTACTGGGCTGCATCAGTGCTGTGTGACGCTTTAAGTGGTACTTCGGGCTCGTAGTACTTCAGGCTCCTAGTACTTCAGGCTCGTACTACACCAAGGATTCTTGGTGTAGATTCTTCTGGTTTTTAGTGGTTACAAATAGCTTTACTCTTATCGACTATGCCGTCTGGTCAGGCATGTGCACAGACATTTTGGGGGGCAGGTGCTCAAACCAAAACCAAAGGGCACCCATTGCCAAAATTACTTAAATTATTTTATTTATTTCAGCCTAAATATATTTTTTTAACTCTGAAGCGGATTCAGCCTGCGAGCTAAACTGAGACAGCTAAGCTAACTAAGGAAGTGCGCACTCACGTCGCGCTCCGTAGTCGATTTACATGAACCACCGCTGTCACCAATGTGACCGAGCGTTAATCAATAATTAATTAATAAGCACGTTAATAACCACCGTAACCACTCTTTTGCCTCTACGGCAACACTGGACGGACATACTATCGCAAAACAATCCCAAAAATGAAATGGCACCCGCCAAAGTGGCAGGTGAGAGAGACTGCTTCACCCACAGCCGAAATCTACCTGTATTTGGGGGCCAATGTACCTTAAAATCTGCTCTTGATTCAACAGGGAGCCAGTGGAGAGAAGTTAATACAGGAGTGATATGATCCCTTTTCTTGGTTCTTGTTAATACACATGCTGCAGCATTCTGAATCAACTGGAGAGGCTTAAGAGATTTACAAGAGCAGCCTGATAACAAAGAATTACAGTAGTCCAGTCTGGAAGTGACAAACGCATGAACTCATTTTTCTGCATCACTTTGAGACAGGAAGTTCCTGATTTTTGATATGTTACGTAGATGAAAAAAGGCACTTTTTTCACTCTTAGACAAGTAGTTTTCTTATTTTAAAAATAATGTTACTATTTTCTAAACCTGTTTATGGTTTTCTAGAAAGCACTTTTATTTTTGTATGGATTTCACACTCTTTTGTCAACCCGTCCCAATCCCAATCTGTACCCCTAAGCACTCACGTTAACACCGTGAGGGTTTGGTTCTGTCCCATCATCTCGTTGAGTGTTTGAGGCTCTTGAGACATTTTTACATTACAGGTCATTTAGCTGACGCTTTCATCCAAAGTGACTTACTTTGGATTTTTAACCCATGGTTTTACTTTTTTGCCCGGGGAGCAATTAGGGTTTAGGTGTCTTGCTCAGGGACACTTCAACATGGGGCAGGCAGGAGTCGAACCACCAACTTTGCAGTTCCCGGTGCACCCTCTCTACCTCCGCGACACGACGACCCCACAATAATAATGCCGCTATTGTGCTATGAAACCGGAAATGCAGGAGGCTGCGTAGCTTTTGATGCTAGTCTAGAAAAATGGGTCGACAGCCCGGAAGAGTTCACTTTAACTGCAACGTTAACGTTAAGTAATATCTGATAGAAATGTTATAATATATAACATCACATCTTAGTTCACGGAATCACTTTAGTCTCGTTGGTAACCAATGTTTTGCTTTTAAATACATAAGACCCTAGAATAAACTGCTCATGGTGATACCGTTACCCCCCCATGCTCTGTTCTTATGAACATCAATGTACCAACACACATAACAAACACACCACGAGCAGCTGGTCTGTACTCATCAGTGAAAAGTCACTTTAACGACTTCACTCTCACTTTAGAGGTTGACGCTGTGACGGTTTTATATAGTTTATACTTCATGTTATGAA